TTTGACTTATATTCAAGGTCACAGGGGTCAAATTTGTTTAAAATCTTTAAACGACCTCTTCTGAATAACCATGGGTCCCAGGATGTTGATACATTGCAAGTTGCATCCTGAGATGAAAGGCTATAAAATTTGTTCAACATAATGACTTTGTTTGACTTTCAATCACAGGGGTAAAATGTTTTTAAAAAAACCCACCAGAGTCTTTTGAATGAATTTTAATCATAAATACTGATATTTTGCCAGTAGCTTTATTTTAGATCACTTTTAAGGTTACAAGTGTGAGATTTATACCAGGTGAGCGATGCAGGCCCATTGGGCCTCTTGTTTGTTTTCACAATTATAATCATTACTATTATCCATATGTTGTAAAGCGCTTTAGTGTAATTTTACAAATTATATAGGGCGCTATATAAATGTTGTATATTATTATTATTATTATTATACTGTCACATATTTCTACTGTAAACAACACTGACTGTATATATAACTCCATATAAACAACATACTGTCACATATGTCTACTGTAAACAACATTTACTATACATATAACTCCATAAAAACAACATACTGTCACATATGTCTACTGTAAACAACATTTACTATACATATAACTCCATAAAAACAACATACTGTCACATATGTCTACTGTAAACAACATTTATTATACATATAACTCCATATAAACAACATACTATCACATATGTCTACTATAAACAATAGTAACTGTACATATTACTTCATACAAACAACACATCATCACATATGTCTACTATAAACAACAGTTACTGTAAATATAACTCCATATCAACAATATACTATCACATATGTCTACTATAAACAATAGTAACTGTACATATTACTTCATACAAGCAACACCCTGTCACATATGTCTATGTAAACAACAGTTACTGTAAATATAACTCCATATCAACAACATACTATCACATATGTCTACTATAAACAATAGTAACTGTACATATTACTTCATACAAACAACACCCTGTCACATATGCCTACTCTAAACAACAGTTACTGTACATATAACTCCAAACAAACAACACCCTGTCACATATGCCTACTCTAAACAACAGTTACTGTATATATAACTCCATACAAACAAGATACATAATGTAAACGGTCAAAACATCAGATCATTCTGGTGTATACCTGTATCGAATCAAAACATCAGATCATTCTGGTGTATACCAGTGTATCGAATCAAAACATCAGATCGTTCTGGTGTATACCTGTATCGAATTAAAACATCAGATCAATCTGGTGTATACCTGTATCCGATCAAAACATCAGATTATCCTGGTGTAAACCTGTATCCAATCAAAACATCAGATTATTCTCACGGGTATACCTGTATCCAATCAAGAAATCATACCATTCTTGTGTAGGCAGATATCCCATTAAAGATGTTTTGTACAACAGTAGATAACTTATGTTACAGCTGAGGCGACACACCTTGCAACCTTGATGGCTTCCCATGGTTACTTCTTTCCCATTGACGACCATGAACTGATAGTCAAAAACGACAATACATACTACAGATTTCAGGTAAGACTAAATGTATGATGTAAACTCATTGTATAAACTGAATAATATGTGATATGGCAGTGGTTCTGGAAATCCCCAAAAAATAGGTTTGACAGTTCTTTATAGATTGTTTATGTCAAATTGGGCACAGATTTCGCTGTCAAGATTGAAAGTGAACAAGGAGTGCTTTAATTTGCTGGAGGTCTATGGAGAAGGATGAGTCTGAGGGTATATAGAGGTAGGGCCGTGATGAGGGCCTTACAAAGAAAAACATGGGACAGATCTGTGATCAAGTTTCACAGAGATGTAATCAGCACAGCCTGTCGTTGGACCGTTATGGTCAGGATCTGCTGGACCGTAATCCCATTACAGCTGTGATTATTTCACTCAATCTACCCTCTAATTGTGTAAGTGCCCAATTTGGTGTGGGAGATGATGCCTAGCATGATTAACTACTGTCTGGTGTCCCGGGATACATGGATGTCCCTGGACCAAGATGATTGGAAGCTGTATTCATTGTCTAGTGTGCTGGGATACATATATAGCAGAATCAAGATGGTGGGAGAATATGCCCCTTGTATTATGTGCTGGGATAGATGTATAGCACAATCAAGATAGTGGGAGAATATGCCCATTGTCTAATGTGCTGGGATAGATGTATAGCACAATCAAGATGGTGGGAGAATATGCCCATTGTCTAATGTGCTGGGATAGATGTATAGCACAATCAAGATGGTGGGAGAATATGCCCATTGTCTAATGTGCTGGGATAGATGTATAGCACAATCAAGATGGTGGGAGAATATGCCCATTGTCTAATGTGCTGGGATAGATGTATAGCACAATCAAGATGGTGGGAGAATATGCCCATTGTCTAATGTGCTGGGATAGATGTATAGCACAATCAAGATGGTGGGAGAATATGCCCATTGTCTAATGTGCTGGGATAGATGTATAGCACAATCAAGATGGTGGGAGAATATGCCCATTGTCTAATGTGCTGGGATAGATGTATAGCACAATCAAGATGGTGGGAGAATATGCCCATTGTCTAATGTGCTGGGATAGATGTATAGCACAATCAAGATGGTGGGAGAATATGCCCATTGTCTAATGTGCTGGGATAGATGTATAGCACAATCAAGATGGTGGGAGAATATGCCCATTGTCTAATGTGCTGGGATAGATGTATAGCACAATCAAGATGGTGGGAGAATATGCCCATTGTCTAATGTGCTGGGATAGATGTATAGCACAATCAAGATGGTGGGAGAATATGCCCATTGTCTAATGTGCTGGGATAGATGTATAGCACAATCAAGATGGTGGGAGAATATGCCCATTGTCTAATGTGCTGGGATAGATGTATAGCACAATCAAGATGGTGGGAGAATATGCCCATTGTCTAATGTGCTGGGATAGATGTATAGCATAATCAAGATGGTGGGAGAATATGCCCCTTGTCTTATGTGCTGGGATAGATGTATAGCACAATCAAGATGGTGGGAGAATATGCCCATTGTCTAATGTGCTGGGATAGATGTATAGCATTAAACCAGTATGATCAAAGGCTACTCCCACATCTTCTGTTCTGGAATGTCTCTAACCCAGGATGATGGGAAATGTATCCATATCTGCAGTCTTGAGATACATATATATTTCAATCAACTAAATTGAGGGTCATAGATAGGTCAAAATGTAGGTCAAACCTGATTACTGCAAAATTTGCTTTTCAGTATACCGGTATGGCTTGTAGGAGTGTTTTAATAAATGTGGTATTTGAAAACTTCAGGACTGGTGTCCTGGGATATTTGTATATTTTTAACCCAGATGACGTGAGACTTTTAATATTAGTACAACTGACATCCTGGGATATTTGTATTTATTTGGACCATGGTGTCCTGGGATACATGTGTATTTGTATTTCTCTAGACCAGGATGACATGAGACTATTTTAGCACATCTAGTGTTGTGGGATGTTTGTATTTCTCTGGATCAGGATGACATGAGACTATTTTAGCACATTTAGTGTTGTGGGATGTTTGTATTTCTCTGGATCAGGATGACATGAGACTATTTTAGCACATTCTCTAGACCAGGAAAATGTGAGACTATATTAGCACCACATCTAGTGTCCTGGGTTATTTGTATTTCTCTGGACCAGGATAATGTGAGACTATATTAGCACATCTAGTGTCCTGGGTTATTTTTATGTCTCTGGACAAGCATACTAGCCAACTTTTTAAAATTTCCATGGGAGAGATTGCGCATGCTCAGAATAAAAAAAAACATGAAGAAAATGTGTGTATGTACACCTTGGGGGAAAATAACACTTGTAAATGACATCTTTTGAGCTGTTCTTTCAGATGAATCATCAGAACTTAGAAAATAGGAATAGTTTAGCAAATTCACTGGTTGAAAATGCTCAATTTTGTGGTCCAAAATCGGGAGTTTCCCTCATAAATAGGAAGAGTTGGCAAGTATGGACCAGGATGATGTGAGACTATAAATTAAGAGTCAAAGTATATAAATATATAACCAGACAGTTTCGTTGAAGTGAATAGTCAATATGAGTCTATATATGGATGAACAGTACATAGATGAGACTGTGTCTAGCCTTTCTGTAGGTCTCTGTAAACATTCATCAGACCTAGGAAGTATTGGCCGGTGATTGTAATCGGTCGGCCATTAACATTTCCCACAAGCTGGCTACAGTCATCTGTATTTATGTGTGTGTGGAACATATAGGACAAATGGTATACGATAAAATATAAAACAAAGACCATCACATGGAACAGGGAACGCAGCATTGAACCAGAAACACTTTATCATAGAAACAAGGGATGTAGAAAAAAGTGTATAACAAAAAAAAAGGATTGAACAGAGAATAAAGAATACAGAAAATGGAATATTGAACAAAGGTCGCAGAACAAAGGTTAAATGATGGAGAACAAAGGTCACAGAACAAAGGTTAAATGACAGAGGACAAAGGTCACAGAATAAAGGTTAAATGATGGAGGACAAAGGTCACAGAACAAAGGTCACAAATCAAAGGTTAAATGACGGAGGACAAAAGTCACAGAATAAAGGTTAAATGATGGAGGACAAAGGTCACAGAACGAAGGTCAAATGACAAAGGACAAAAAAAGTATAGGCCAAAATATTTGACCCTTTAGCATAAAATCTAATAAAAAAACAAATGACTAGATAAAAAACATGATTAAGACTGCACACAATAAAAGTGAGTCTTCACATAATGTTTTAGATTGTGATCCTATCTACCACACTGGCCCTGCATTGTATAACCTTTTTCAGGCTTTGACCAACATAAGCACAACTAGCTGACAAAAGATAATTAAAAATATAAAAAAAAAACATTCGTCTCTTAAAATTTATCAAGAAGTCCTTCAAAATTGTGCAAGTGTAGCCATGTCTACTATAAGCTTGTATGTTAACCCATTCACCCCTTCAATCACATTTGAACCATACCAACTCATAGACTGGGTGAGTCCAGTTTAAATATGTAGGGGTGAATGAGTTAATGTATATATATGTTTCCTTTGTTTCTTTGTAGACACCATGTTTTTGGCCATCAAGATGTGGGGAACCAGAAAACACAGATTATGGTAAGAATCCAATTGTTTATCATTTAAACCTAACAATAATACCACATATTAACAGGATGATATTATATTATTATATCCAATACAATACATGTATATAGAGCTAACAAGGTACTTCCATATTCCCCCCCCCCCCCCCCCATGTCCTTAAATGACATTAACAGTTGGTATGACGTTGAACAAAATAAAACCAAACCATATCCCCCACCCCCACCCCTTCTTTATTTTCCTTTTTTTTTCTTTCTCCAAAAACATCTTAAAAATCGGAAAAAAAACCAGGAAGAAGCAGGTGAGTGACCTTTTGAAAATTTCCCCCCCGACACATATTGATATCATCTTGATGTTAAACTGTTGTGAATAGCTTTAAATCCTAATGATACGTTTTGATGTGAAATGGTTCTACAGTTGATTACTGACAATCAGGTTATTCAGAATGGCATTTCATCATTTGTATCAATTCATATTTTTACATTAATTACCATTTTCACTGATGAAAATTATGCAAACTCAGAAGAAGGGTTGACTTAAACAGTAGTTGATCGGTTGGTGTGGGGATTGTTTCAGCGGTGTATTTATGCAAGAGGACAATGCAGAATAAACAACGCTTAGAACTAGCTGATTATGAAGCAGAAAACTTGGCAAGACTCCAGAAAATGTTTTCCAGGAAATGGGAATTTATCTTTATGCAAGCTGAAGCACAGGCAAAGTAAGTAATGGATTTTTGATTTTATAATACATTGTTGTTTTTGGTCTTATTCTGAGAAAATTTAGGCTCGGCAATGTGATCAAAATACTTAATGAGAAGTTTAAGCCATTAAGACAAATCTAAATCAGTGCAGTCTTGGCATATGGGTGTGATAGGAGCTATGCACTTGGTATTTTGTTGAAGCAAATGACCTGCATGCTCATTGGATGGCCTATTATCACATTACAGTCTGAGCCAAGTGTCACTTCCTTCATGACATCATAACTGAATTTGCCAAAATGTTGTGGCAATTCTTAATTCCGTGTGGATAAAAGATAGAATATCGGGATGTGTGGATATTTCAAAGTATTAAACAGTTATTTTTAAGTGTCATGATTTTTTTTTTTGACCCTGCCATTTTATGGGGGTCATGAAGTGTTATCTAAGGCTTAGGTCATTATACCCCCGCAATGAAGTTAGGGGGGACATACTGGAATCACCCTGTCTGGATGTCTGTCGTCCGCAGTAACTTGTCCGGAAAATTCCTCCTTTATTAACAGGTGGATTTCATTGAAACTTTGCATGAATGATCAGTATCTTATGTAATTGTGCACCAGAATTTTAATTTGGGATTTCTACCCTTTTTGATGGAGTTATGCCCCTTTTTGCAAAATACTTGTCCGTGCAACTTCTCCTTAACGAACAAGTGGATTTCATTGAAACTTTGCATAATTGATCAGTATCTTATGTAGTTGTGCACCCTCATTTTAATTTGGGATTTCGACCCTTTTTGATGGAGGTATGCCCCTTTGTGTGAAATACTTGTTACTGGTGGGAGACTATGGATTGCTTTGCAAGGCTTTGCCTTAGTAAGCTTTTAACTTACAGTTCTGGTTTATGTAGTAGCGAGGGTGTTAGTTAGCTTTTGGCTTACATTTCTAGTTGTTACTATCTATAGAAATTTATCAACCAACTAACTTTGTAGTGACATCATTCTAGCACTTCATTTCTTAACAGATTTTAATCACACTTTATATAAAGGTCAATTATGACATCATCTCAAATATTTCAGACTTTCAAAGTCACTGTATCTATGATAGAAATTTGTCAAACAATGACACTTATTGCAGGTACATTGTATTCAGGACTTAAAGACACTTTCTAGTATATGAACTGCTCCCTTTCATCAGGCAATGAAGGAACCAGAGTAGGCGCTCAGTGCTGAAAGGATTATTCAACACTGCTGTTAATATTTTGAAGCTTTTTCTGTGAGATTTCTTTTGCTGTTCTCACTGTTGCAGTGGAACAACCAATATACATAATACAGCTTTACACACATTTAACTGACTTAATACAAATGTATCAACTGATCGCAATTTTTCTATCAAAAGTTACATTGTAGACATGTAATATAGATGATATAAATAATTCACAAATGATAAAATTAGTCATAGTGTAGTTCCAGAGGTGATCATGATAAATAATTCACAAATAATAAAATCATTCATAGCGTAGTTCCAGAGGTGATCATGATAAATAATTCACAAATGATAAAATTAGTCATAGTGTAGTTCCAGGGGTGATCATGATAAATAATTCACAAATGATAAAATTAGTCATAGTGTAGTTCCAGGGGTGATCATGATAAATAATTCACAAATGATAAAATTAGTCATAGTGTAGTTCCAGGGGTGATCATGATAAATAATTCACAAATGATAAAATTAGTCATAGTGTAGTTCCAGGGGTGATCATGATAAATAATTCACAAATGATAAAATTAGTCATAGTGTAGTTCCAGGGGTGATCATGATAAATAATTCACAAATGATAAAATTAGTCATAGTGTAGTTCCAGGGGTGATCATGATAAATAATTCACAAATGATAAAATTAGTCATAGTGTAGTTCCAGGGGTGATCATGATAAATAATTCACAAATGATAAAATTAGTCATAGTGTAGTTCCAGGGGTGATCATGATAAATAATTCACAAATGATAAAATTAGTCATAGTGTAGTTCCAGGGGTGATCATGATAAATAATTCACAAATGATAAAATTAGTCATAGTGTAGTTCCAGGGGTGATCATGATAAATAATTCACAAATGATAAAATTAGTCATAGTGTAGTTCCAGGGGTGATCATGATAAATAATTCACAAATGATAAAATTAGTCATAGTGTAGTTCCAGGGGTGATCATGATAAATAATTCACAAATGATAAAATTAGTCATAGTGTAGTTCCAGGGGTGATCATGATAAATAATTCACAAATGATAAAATTAGTCATAGTGTAGTTCCAGGGGTGATCATGATAAATAATTCACAAATGATAAAATTAGTCATAGTGTAGTTCCAGGGGTGATCATGATAAATAATTCACAAATGATAAAATTAGTCATAGTGTAGTTCCAGGGGTGATCATGATAAATAATTCACAAATGATAAAATTAGTCATAGTGTAGTTCCAGGGGTGATCATGATAAATAATTCACAAATGATAAAATTAGTCATAGTGTAGTTCCAGGGGTGATCATGATAAATAATTCACAAATAATAAAATTAGTCATAGTGTAGTTCCAGGGGTGATCATGATAAATAATTCACAAATGATAAAATTAGTCATAGTGTAGTTCCAGGGGTGATCATGATAAATAATTCACAAATAATAAAATTAGTCATAGTGTAGTTCCAGGGGTGATCATGATAAATAATTCACAAATAATAAAATTAGTCATAGTGTAGTTCCAGGGGTGATCATGATAAATAATTCACAAATGATAAAATTAGTCATAGTGTAGTTCCAGGGGTGATCATGATAAATAATTCACAAATGATAAAATTAGTCATAGTGTAGTTCCAGGGGTGATCATGATAAATAATTCACAAATAATAAAATTAGTCATAGTGTAGTTCCAGGGGTGATCATGATAAATAATTCACAAATAATAAAATTAGTCATAGTGTAGTTCCAGGGGTGATCATGATAAATAATTCACAAATAATAAAATTAGTCATAGTGTAGTTCCAGGGGTGATCATGATAAATAATTCACAAATAATAAAATTAGTCATAGTGTAGTTCCAGGGGTGATCATGATAAATAATTCACAAATAATAAAATTAGTCATAGTGTAGTTCCAGGGGTGATCATGATAAATAATTCACAAATAATAAAATTAGTCATAGTGTAGTTCCAGGGGTGATCATGATAAATAATTCACAAATAATAAAATTAGTCATAGTGTAGTTCCAGGGGTGATCATGATAAATAATTCACAAATAATAAAATTAGTCATAGTGTAGTTCCAGGGGTGATCATGATAAATAATTCACAAATAATAAAATTAGTCATAGTGTAGTTCCAGGGTTGATCATGATAAATAATTCACAAATAATAAAATTAGTCATAGTGTAGTTCCAGGGGTGATCATGATAAATAATTCACAAATAATAAAATTAGTCATAGTGTAGTTCCAGGGTTGATCATGATAAATAATTCACAAATAATAAAATTAGTCATAGTGTAGTTCCAGGGGTGATCATGATAAATAATTCACAAATAATAAAATTAGTCATAGTGTAGTTCCAGGGGTGATCATGATAAATAATTCACAAATAATAAAATTAGTCATAGTGTAGTTCCAGGGGTGATCATGATAAATAATTCACAAATAATAAAATTAGTCATAGTGTAGTTCCAGGGGTGATCATGATAAATAATTCACAAATAATAAAATTAGTCATAGTGTAGTTCCAGGGGTGATCATGATAAATAATTCACAAATAATAAAATTAGTCATAGTGTAGTTCCAGGGGTGATCATGATAAATAATTCACAAATAATAAAATTAGTCATAGTGTAGTTCCAGGGGTGATCATGATAAATAATTCACAAATAATAAAATTAGTCATAGTGTAGTTCCAGGGGTGATCATGATAAATAATTCACAAATAATAAAATTAGTCATAGTGTAGTTCCAGGGGTGATCATGATAAATAATTCACAAATAATAAAATTAGTCATAGTGTAGTTCCAGGGGTGATCATGATAAATAATTCACAAATAATAAAATTAGTCATAGTGTAGTTCCAGGGGTGATCATGATAAATAATTCACAAATAATAAAATTAGTCATAGTGTAGTTCCAGGGGTGATCATGATAAATAATTCACAAATAATAAAATTAGTCATAGTGTAGTTCCAGGGGTGATCATGATAAATAATTCACAAATAATAAAATTAGTCATAGTGTAGTTCCAGGGGTGATCATGATAAATAATTCACAAATAATAAAATTAGTCATAGTGTAGTTCCAGGGGTGATCATGATAAATAATTCACAAATAATAAAATTAGTCATAGTGTAGTTCCAGGGGTGATCATGATAAATAATTCACAAATGATAAAATTAGTCATAGTGTAGTTCCAGGGGTGATCATGATAAATAATTCACAAATAATAAAATTAGTCATAGTGTAGTTCCAGGGGTGATCATGATATAATTCACAAATGATAAAATTAGTCATATTGTAGTTCCAGGGGTGATCATGATATAATTCAAATATTTTCAAGTCAAGGAAGAGTAAAAATTCTGTTCCTCAATTTGAATTTTGATCAGAAAATCTGTTGTCAAGTACAGGCTAAAGAAAGCCTATAGAATTACGTCTTAAATGATGTTTTTGTCAAATGTTTCTTTGACGTAAAATTCCTTGTGATAAAATCAAGCAACATAAGAAGCAAATGGCAATGGCGTGTAGTTTCAATACATTACAGACAAAATGAAATTCATTTATTCATACAACATTAAAAAAACTGTGTTACTTGAAGCATCAAGTATAAATGCACCAAGTTGCTGCGTACGTTTGGAGGTATGTGCAGCTGTCACGCACACAAAATGCACAACGTAATTGCTGGTGTGCTGTGTGGCCAGATCTTGTACAGCATATGTAATGATGACACCACATTTTGACACCTCAAAACCTATAAGGATGATTTACGATTCCAACTCATGCTATAGCTAGAAACACAGTCAGGACAGGCAGAATATCCTAATGACTTCAGACAGGCGGCAGAACGATAGCAGTTTAATTTAATTTCAATATGTAATAAAATCCATTAAGGTTTGTGCTGAGTGTGCTGATCTATGGTGCTGGCTCCCCCTCATCTGGGCCAGATAAGTAATGGCCCTGCTATCTCTACCTGCGTCTTGTAAAACAGTTCCCAGGGGCCCCCCAAGGTACATATTGTTTATAAAAGTTAGACTGGCTTTTAGGACCAGACATGACTTAAGAACCGGATTAGAATAGTAGAAACAATTCAACAGCATGTATGTGAATGTCGGTAATATTTGTTGTGGTTTTGAAACTGGGCCAGAAGGCATTGCATAGGCATATATGGAGAAGAATTATTTAGCTGTGGGGTCAGAATATAAATCCATAGACTTATTCAATGACTCACTCGTTTGTGGTTTGATGGATTCAAGGACTAATGACTTGCAGAGTCAAGAAATTAGCATATGAATTAGTTAAGACAAACTCGTGGAAATGAAAAGTAATTAACAGAATATGGTCTGATCACCAATTTGATAAAATGACTCATTGATTGACTAAGATGATTGATTTGGACTCTTTGACCTATGAACTGATTGTATATATTAATCCCTGTAGGATAGGTCCAGTAATTAAACTAGATGTGCTGGTATCTGTGATGTTTATGTCCAGTCCATGTTTCCCACATAGCTGTTCGTGTGTGTATGGAGGGTTGCCAAGTACTCCTAGCCTTGTCACAACTTTATCTTCAGATGGCTAACAATGCAAATTAAAAACCCATTAAAGGAAACTTCTAATAATTGGGTGGTATTTAATTTTATTTTTCATATTTTTTCAGTGTTTTACGCTGTATTTCCTCATGTAGTGATGGTATGCATTAGCTGATTGCCACATCATGAGTACAGTTCACTTGTACACATTTACATCAGCAGTTCGCTGCTCACACATACTTTTTCAAGACAGTTTAAAGATTATCAGTGACATTTGTAAAGTTCAGTTACGTTTGTATCTTGATGGTGAACAAATCCAAATGTACTTGCTATAGGTCAAAGGTTAATGGTCACTGTGGACATAACTGCTATCACTTAAGTGTTAGTTTTGGTAAGTTAGATTCTACACATACCATACATAGTGTGTGCTTTCAGCACATCACCTCATTATGGTAATATTCATACATTATTATCCCCCGCTTTCACCGAAACGGGGGATATTAATTTGGGTTTGTCCGTCTATCTGTCTGTCTGTCACGCTTCGTTTCTATGCAATAACTACAACAAATGTTAACCGATTTTCTTCAAACTTGGTCACAGGGTTAAATGCCTTAAGGGCTCGGCCAAATTTGATGACCACCTTCAGCGGACCCCATTTGGCGGAGTTATGGCCCCTTGAATAACGAAAATGCATTATCTGCCGCACTTCGTTTCTGTGCAATAACTTCAACAAATGTTAACCGATTTTCTTCAAACTTGGTCACAGGGTTAAATGCCTTAAGGGCTCAGCCAAATTTGATGACCACTTTCAGCAGACCCCATGTGGTGGAGTTATGGCCCCTTGAATAACGAAAATGCATTATCTGCCGCACTTCGTTTCTGTGCAATAACTTCAACAAATGTGAACCGATTTTCTTCCAACTTGGTCACAGGGTTAAATGCCTTAAGGGCTCAGCCAAGTTTGATGACCACTTTCAGCAGACCCCATTTGGTGGAGTTATGGCCCCTTAAATAACGAAAATGCATTATCTGCCGCACTTCGTTTCTGTGCAATAATTTCAACAAATGTAAACTGATTTTCTTCAAACTTGGTCACAGGGTTAAATGCCTTAAGGGCTTAACCAAATTTGATGACCACTTTAATAAAACTCCATTTGGCAGAGTTATGGCCCCTTGATTAACAAAAAACGTCATTATCTGAAGTTTCTGCTTACCGGTAATAACTAGCAAATATTAGCCAAATTCCTTCAAACTTGATAACAATGTTTGTGTTCTTCTGTCTTTCTACCCATCTCGGGCACTCTTTTGTTTTTGTGTGATAATTGCTATAGATATTGTTCAGATGTTTCAACCAAATTCCGTATGCACATCCGACTCGTGCTTAGTTTGCAACCGATGTGATTTGTGCATATTTATGGATAGTCAATGAGGTATAGGGCTTTTTTTTCCCTTCAAGTTTCAAGCTTTACATGAATTATGTCTCAAAAGCATGATACTCACATGTTTAAACCTAACCTCAATAATGTTAACCTACAATATGTCCTGCAAGCGGAGGATATAAATTCCACGAATTATGTTTGTTTTATATTAAACTGTACAAAAGCTATGTATCAAACTGTACTTAAGCTAGGGCATTAACTGTTGTTTAATATTGCTATAAATGGGCGCTCTAGAAGCATTGGTCAAAAGTGTACAGTAACAAAATTAAGCATTTAGGAAACTCAGAAACAAATGTAAATAATTCACATCAAATAGCTTTTGGATATTGACTTTATTACGATCTTGGTGTTGATAATATTGTTGTGAAGTTGAAATTGTCGCAACCTTGTTATTGTTTTGACCTTGACATTATTGTGACCATGACATTGTTGTGACCTTGACATTATTTTACCTTGCAGGGTAGACAAGAAACGAGACAAATTGGAGCGTAAAGTTCTAGACAGCCAGGAAAGGGCATTCTGGGACGTCCATCGACCTGTGGTAAGTATTTCACAGACTGTTAAATACACATACATATTATGATGAACTGTTGCAATTTATGCTTTCCAATGATTTTACATTGAATTCAGTATAAACTTTTTTTCAGCATCCTTGTTATACTGTGGTAGAGTATGCTATTTTTAGATAAACTAACATATAACATTTGATCTTTTGGTTTCTAGCCGGGTTGTGTAAATACCACAGAAGTTGATATAAAGAAAGCATGTCGGATGAACCGCCATTCAAAAATGACACGGGTGAGTGATGGTGTTAAATTGTGTCAGTGAAAGTATTTTTAGATATGTTCATTGTTCTGAATACTCAAAAATTGGAACTTTGTGAACTTTTGTTCTAAACCTAGTGAATTCTTACAATGCTCAATTAGTATTCATATTTCATTCTCTTCCTAAAAAATGGGGCACATACATGTCTATTAGGGACATCACACAATTGTCTGGAACTTAACTTTTGAACAATTGGACAAAAAAAAAATCAGTATCAGGCATAATCTGTACGTTTGTCTTTACAAGATGGTGTGTTCTTGTTTATACACCCAAGGTCAAGGTAACTGCATGGGTCAAAGGTCAACTCATTGTGATGCTTGTGTAAGCCATGATTTCTGAACATTATTTGATAAATTGTCATATTTACATTTAGTGACAATGTTTGTGATAAAAACGTATCCCTCATTTCCACTGATACGTTTGTTTGGTGTAAGTCTCCATGATCTAATACAGGAAGTTCATTAAACAATCCATCGTTGGATTTCAGCACAATTACGCAGTACCAGGAGGACGGATCAGTCCCAGCGTGTCGGAGGCAGATCTACACAACCCTTGTGAAAGTATACGACATGAGGTACAACCTTTATTATTTATCAGGATTATTTTGTATTTTCCCTTCCTATTTTGGTAGAATCTTTACAATATCATGATAGTGAAAACAAATCAGGACAGAAATTCCTTCACCCTTACTCCTTTATTAAAACCTTGGTTCACAAACATAAAACAACAACAAAAAGTTGAGTGAACACCCTCAAATTTGAGTGTAAGTCTTCTTATCTGAAGCCTTAAAAGCAGGTATGGTAAAAGATGACTTGATATACACATTCTGCTAAACAAAGAAATATTTCTTGCATTTTTCATCAGCCATTATTGCCAATTTGTATACGAGCGTTGAATGACGGATGTATAATGCTATCACATGAGCGGGTGGGCAGGCGCGAACGGTGTCCAGTCAATATCTCTAGTTTTTAAGGGATTGACTTCAAACTTCATAGGAAGGTTGATTGCCATGATAGCTCAGACAAGTTCGATAACCGCAATTATCAGACCGTAATTTACAGAGTTATGGCCCTTTATTTAATTGCCTAACAGTGTCCACTCAATATCTTGAGTAATTTTCTACGGATTAACTTCAAACTTCATTGGAAAGTTCATTACCATGATAGCTTGAACAAGTTTGATAACCACCATTGTCCGACCGTAATTGATAGAGTTATAACCTTTTTTATACAACCATACAGACAACTGCTTATTCAATGTATGACATGGTATTATGTTCCGTTTTTTCGCGGTATCCTTGTTTGTTTAAGATTAATGCAATGGTCTCTGATTGGCAGAGGCATGAGGAATGCATTGGTCTCTGATTGGCAGAGGCATGAGTAATGCATTGGTCTCAAATTGATTGAGACATGAGAAATGCATTGGTCTCAGATTGGTTGAGACATGAGAAATGCATTGGTCTCTGATTGGTTGAGACATGAGGAATGCATTGGTCTGTGATTGGTTGAGACATGAGGAATGCATTGGACTGTGATTGGTTGAGACATGAGGAATCATTGGTCTGTGATTGGATGAGACATGAGGAATGTAATGATCTGTGATTGGTTGAGACATGAGGAATCATTGGTCTGTGATTGGTTGAGACATGAGGAATGTAATGGTCTGTGATTGCATGGTTGAGGCATGAATACATTGGTCTGTGATTAGTTGAGACATGAAAAATCATTGGTCTGTGATTGGTTGAGACATGAGGAATGCATAGGTCTGTGATTGGTTGAGACATGAGGAATATCATTGGTCTGTGATTGGTTGAGACATGAGGAATGTAATGGTCTGTAATTGGTTGAGAAATGTTTTGAATTCCCGTCTTGTCTAAAACATGCTAGAAATAGAAGTGATTCAAACTGTTTATATTCTGGATAACTGTTTCCTTTGTAATACAGATTTAGTCCATTGACTATAACACTTAACAGTAGAATCTGCATAACAGCATACTTACAGATTTAGTCCAGTCTGCATAACAGCATGCTTACAGATTTAGTCCAGTCTGCATAGTGCATAACAGCATACTTGCAGATTTAGTCCAGTCTGCATAACAGCATACTTACAGATTTAGTCGAGTCTGCATAACAGCATACTTACAGATTTAGTCCAGTCTGCATAACAGCATACTAAAAGATTTAGTCCAGTCTGCATAACAGCATACTTACAGATTTAGTCCAGTCTGCATAACAGCATACTTACAGATTTAGTCAATGCTGTATCTGGAAGTTTACATGTTTTTCGTCTGGAATGTTATATGATAGGTATTGTTTTGGACCACATTAAGATATTGATCACAGTACTGGTACTTTTTGTTTGTATATTCAGTTTTGAATTTCAGTATTTTTCCATTTCAAAATGATCAACTTGAAATAGTAAAAAAATTATAAGAAAACACCGAGATTATATTTCAGCAATGTTAATCAAAAGTGAAAGCTAGAGATTTGGCTTAAAGTAAGAATATTTTTTTTTCCTGAAACAGGTTTTGTTACCTTTGAGGTCAGTTTGAAAATGCAGACTATTACAAAGTCATTTCACTGGCTAAAATATTTTCTACTTCTTTAGATTGCCACCATGGATCAAACTTGGTTTAATTGTTCCTCCCTTTTAGTTTAAATAGTGTATTTTAAGTGAGTGGTATAGGACCTAATTGTTTCTAAAAGAGATTGTGGTAGTTTTTGTGTGAGCAGAATAAAGCTTTTCATATTTGGTGATATTGTTTCTAGTCCGCAAATCTAACAATTAATAGGTTGCTCTGCAATACTTATTATCAACTGTGATTGATGATAAAATAGAAGCGCCAGAGGTATCTTGTATTGCACACTACATTGACAATAAAATTGATACGCTGTATCAGATGTGTCCCGAAGTACAAACGGGATGTTAAATATAAATCAATAATTTAATTTGTACAGCCGCTGGTATTGATATGTCATTATTTCCATTCACATTTTATACAAATCTTTTAGCTTGTTAGTGCATCCTTAAACAGACGCTTTTTAAATTTGAACCAATTGATAAAAAATAAGATTGTAGTAAGTTAATTATTTCTCGGATTGGAATGTAGCCCAATTTGATATAAGATTTCTGATAGTAGCTGTAGCAGTCCAAGCCAATATTTGAGGAACTCAGTGAAGCATGATATTATATTTATTGCAGCAATAGCAATAAATTGAATCAAGGTTTTTTCTGTGTCATGCATGTTAATTCTGACTGGTGCTGCCACCTGGGTCCTGCCGGATCCAGCCAACGCCCACAGCTAGCTGTCCTACCACAAATTATTAATCAATGTTGGCTTTTCTAAGTGGAGCATATAATTTGCCCTAAGTCTTGGTATGTGGCAGAGAGATAAGGTCGGTGTATGAACTATTGATGGGAAGTTCCTGTTATAGATAATGCTATTTATAACCCTGTCACCCAGGACAAATGATACCCAATCATAAGGCTGTGGTGCTCTTATATAATATTTAGAGTTTATAGGATAGGTTGGCAATGTAATCTTCTATGGTTTTAGTGGATTAAACCTGATTTTGTTTTGTGGTCTCAAAGAACATGGATTTATAACCTCATATCCAGGCCTTCACTGATAGACATCAAGAAGACTCGGACATGGGCCTCAATGGTAGAATTTGATACAGGCCCTCATTATTAGACTTAGACAAAAGTTTCCACATGTAGACTTAAACATAGGGGTACACTAGTAGACTTCTGTATAACTAGGAGGCCTACATGAGTGACGATATAAAATATGGGAATATCTCAAATGAGTCTATATGTCAGGATTCCAAGGTCACCGTCAAGGTCGCCATTTGTGCATGTTTATATAGGATGTTATCAACCAATTCAGGGATAAAACTATAGCAACTTGATTCAACAGATTTTGATCAAGCTTTATACAAAGGAGAAGTGTGAGGACATCTCAGATGGGTTTCTAGATCTATTTCATAGTTTCAATGCCTAGGCCAAGCTCACCTTTACTATTCATAGAATATGTTAACAATGACGCTATTTTGGATTAGGACTGGGAACATTCATGTCTTACAGATATTTTATGTAGTTTAATCAATGTTGCGAGTTTTAGAGCATTTGTAGGCTTTTGAAATCCTGTGTGTTTGAAGGAACAAGTTTGACTCTTTGGAGAGATACTTTGGGAAAGTCACCAATGTTGAAAATAAAATAAAATGTGCAGGTCGGCAATTCTCAAGATTCAAAAGACCTTAGTCTATATTGATATTTGGTACGAAGCTTACTGTGGTGATGGCTGTCAATTTATTTAGATAAATGATTTTTAATCACATGTTCACAGGGTCAAATGTGTTCATATTCTAGCAACATCTTCTAAGAAACACAAAGCCTGGAGTGAGAATATTTACCCGGTAGAGGTGATGGGCTATCTACAAGACCTAGAGTTATAACATTTAGCCTGTGTATGACTTTCAATGATGAAGTGCCATGAAGATTGTTCAAATAAAGAACAAAACTCAAGGTGACCACCGTGGCCTCTTCATTGTTTCATTCATTTCAGCATTAAATATATTTTCCCAACACAATGAAATAACAATTCAATGAGCTATAAAGGGCCTTTTGGGACTTTCGTTTCTAGTTTTACAGTAGATTTCGCTTATTATCACTTCTGATTTGTCAGATGAAAATGTGATATTAACAGGAACATGACTTAAAGAGAAAACGTGTTTTTCTGGGTGTCAAAACCTGGAAATTACCGTATTTAAATGGCCAAGTGATATTGTACGTTTGTACATAATGTACTTCCAAACAAGGAATCAAAACCAACTTACTTATATTCAATTTCAGATTGACTCCTTAAAAAAGAAACTAGAGAAAAGAAGAGTAAAAATATCCAAAGTGACAGAGAGGTAAGATTTCAGTGAACTGTATCATTGGGTTAAATGTGTTGCTTTTGTTGTATGCACTTACTTATTGAAAACAGTAAGATATCAACACAATAATGGCACCATGGACCAGATAAACTAGCTATTAATTTCAAAAATATGTCACAGAACAAAAATGACCGGAACAGTCAACAAAGTATTGTCAGCAAGCCACTTCTTTTTATAAAAGTATGTCAACCTGATAATGATGCCAGGAATATAACATCGCAGAAGGTTATCAACTAACAGAGATTTAAAAATCATGTTAGAGAAGATAAATTGTTGGTTATACAGTTAAATCATGAGCGACATCTGTGTTTCAGCTATGTGGCATTCTATGAACAATATGCTGAGTTTGACCCGTTTATAATGAGTCCTGACCCTTCCAATCCATGGGTAACGGACTGCATAGACTTCTGGGAAATGGAGAAAACAGTGTAAGTACAGTGACAACATGCCAGACCAGAGCACAAGGCTTCATGCCTTTATGGGTCTTACCTTGATGAATAGATGCTGAACGTTGCTTGTAAAGTTTGAGAGTTGTGGGTAAAGGTCACTCAAATGTTTATAGCAGGAAAGGAACCGTAACTCTATGGTCAGAGTGTCAAATAGTCATTGACAGAATTATAGTGGACAGGAAAATCAATCTTGTCAGGATGACTGAACAACATCCACATGAAGGTATCAGTAATTCTAACAGCGACGATGACATAACTCAGCACACTATCAAAAAAGTAAGAATTAAAGAGAGTAAAATTTGACATATTTCAGCACACTATCAAAATTTTAGAATTTCAGAGAGAATACAATTTTGACAAATTTCAGCACACTATCAAAAATTTAGAATTTAAGAGAATACAATTTGACATATTTCAGAACACTATCAAAAAGTTAAAGTTAAAGAGAATACATTTTGACAAATTTCAGTACACTATCAAAAATTGAGAATTTAAGAGAATACAATTTGACATATTTCATCACACTATCAAAAATTGAGAATTTAAGAGAACACAATTTGACATATTTCAGCACACTATCAAAAAGTTAGAATTTATGAGAACACAATTTGACATATTTCAGTACACTATCAAAAAGTTAGAATTTAAGAGAAAACAATTTGACATATTTCAGCACACTATCAAAACGTTAGCATTTAAGAGAATACAATTTGACATATTTCAGCACACTATCAAAAAGTTTTGAATTTAAGAGAATACAATTTGACATATTTCAGTACACTATCAAAAAGTTAACATTTAAGAGGACCAATTTGACATATTTCAGCACACTATCAAAAAGTTAACATTTAGGAGAAAACAATTTGACATATTTCAGCACACTATCAAAAAGTTAGAATTTAAGAGAATACAATTTGACATTTCAGTACACTATCAAAAAGTTAACATTTAAGAGAAAACAATGTGACATATTTCAGTACACTATCAAAAAGTTAACATTTAAGAGAATACAATTTGACATATTTCAGCACACTATCAAAAAGTTAGAATTTAAGAGAAAACAATTTTATAAGCTTTGTCCTTAATTTTGTGCATTGTACATGCCTGTTGTGTTTGTACTGGATTTCCGTGTGGAATGATATGCTGATCATTATTGTATGTGGATGCTTGACATAGCACAGTGAGGTAATTTTCTGTGTGTAGACTTTTGAGGGGTTTATTTTGTATACTGCAGCAACCCTCGGGATATTCCACAACGCAGGGTAAAACGCTGGGCGTTTTCTATAGAAGAATTATTAGGGGACCCAGCAGGAAAAGAACAGTTTAGCAAATTTTTAGATAAAGAATTCAGTGGAGAAAATTTGAAGTAAGTATAATTCAGACTGCTTTTTTAAAGCTTGAATTACATAAGATCAAGGATTTTCATGATGCTTTTCTTTTTAAACTCCTTAAGGAAGCATTGTGTGGTTTGCTTGTTTTATTTTATTTGATATATAATTTTTAAGAGTCGATTTTCTTGGGACCCAATATGTTTATGGTTTCTTTCTTTGAACTTAACAATTTTACAGTTTTGTGAATGTTTAAAATTAAGGAACACACCTTGATTAATTATCAATGTTTTAAACAAATGTGTACATGTGCTACCAGGAGAGCAACATCCAGGTACAAATAGCTGTACCGTGTTACACACTAGTGGTACGTATTGTATCTAACACATTACTGTGACAGGTTCTGGACAGCGTGTCGAGACCTGAAGGGACTAGCTATGAAGAAGGTTAATTGTAAAGTACATGAAATTTTCTCGTAAGTATGGGTTGTATTTTTTGTCACTTATTGCTGAAGTCTTCTCCATTTAATTTAGTTTTAAAATCATCAAAATTGTTTTCACCCCTAAAACTGGATGCAGATTAAGAAACATTACAACTTCTCTAACGGGCATGATCATGACATGCATATGTTGAGCATGAGAAGGCTGAAAGCTTGCCAAACAAAAACAGAAAGAGGACCCACATTGTTTATTCAAGCTGGAATTATTAATTATGATGAATATCAAACATGAATTCATAACATTTATTAAAAAAAAACTTTGGATGTCTGACAGTGAAATACAGATTATGACCGAGCACTGGAGCACACGAGGATATTAACATTCCAATATAGGCATTTGATGAATATTTATTGCATTTAAAAAAGATTGATAATTTTGTATGACCCCATTGTTTTATAGTCAAGTCTGTATTTCAAAGTCTGGATCATGTAAAATTCCAGGATGAACCTGGTGTTCCAATATGTATCGGATTTGAAATAATCCGAAATAATTACCATGGGACCGAAAACTTGTATACACATTGGGTGTTTGAGATATATATAAGTTTGTAATAGCAAATAGTGCAGTGTTCCTTTTAACATGATTCTCATTGTGTTGCAGAGAGTTCTTGGCTCCTGGTGCTCACAACCCTGTCAATGTAGATAGTCGTATAACGGAACTTGTACGCACGCGAGTGGAAAACTGCCCAAACCGATATTGTTTTGAAGAAGCTCAGGTATGTAGTGATAGAAACCTCTGGTTCGTTGTAATCAAGAAGAAGTTCATCAGGTGTGTATTGTCAGAAACATTTAGTTCATTGCAGCAATGAAGAACCTCGGCTATGCTAAGTCAGAAACATTTGGTTCATTGCAGCAATGACGAACATAGGCTATGTTAAGTCAGAAACATTTGGTTCATATAGTTTTAAGTATATATAATCTGATAATGATTCTGATTTCTCCTGTTGAAACCTGATTGTGACATGTCTATTTGTTCTAGTCATGTTCTAGTGTTCCACATGTTATCTATCATACCCTTGGGGTGACTGAGGAATCCTAACAGGTGAAAAGGGAGATAATTCTGTTAGTGGTCAGAGAAAAGGTGGTATACCTAAAACAACATCAGATATGATAATGGAGACTGCTGTGTTAACCCTACTACAAGTACTGACCATAGTTCAGCTATTAATCATGTCTAACTGTGTATATGTTATCTGTGTCTTTGCAGGACCACATATTCAAGCTTATGAAAAGTGACAGTTACAGTCGTTATCTTCGCTCAGATATGTACAAAGAATTTTTAAGTGGAACCAGGAAAAAAGTAAGACTCCTACCAGCAATAGCAAGCAACTTCTCAGCGTTCAAGCACTCGTCCTGACTGACTGTGTCGTATTGTCCAACCCCTCCTGTAGTTCGCCCCAACCACTTAGCCACCCCATCTGACTTAGTCCATTTGGTATTGTGATTTCTCTGCTGTACTGTCCCATGACAAGTCTAGAGAGCTCCAAGGGACTCGAAGGCGAAGAACATTCTTCAGAGGATTCTGATATTAGAATTTGGAACAAAACTCAGAACATCACGTGGTAAACGGATGTGTAAAATTTGACCAAAGATTATTGTCATTAATGTGACTTTTTGTATAAAAATGATGAAACCAAAATTGGAACATTCAAAAAGATGTGTTTTGACACTTGTAAAGTCACATCTGTCTTTTCTCTTCCTCTGTGTATGACCTCTATTTGTCTGTGACCCTTGCACAAGGTTTGATATCCATAGGAATTTCCCTCCCTGCGTCCTCCCTATGTGTCGGTTTGACTCTGGGACATAATCGTTATGACTTGTGACACGATCGACCTTGACACCAAGAGCTTAAGACTTGACGTGGGATGTGCAGCCGTTTGTGTGTAGTTGTGAGATATGTTGGTGGTTCACTAAGCACCGTAATACTTCAGATTGGGTCTAAAACTGTTGTGTGGATACATTTTGTTCAACAGACAAGATGCTACACAAATCATGGGCTGTATAAACAAAATCTAAATCTTCAGGATTTCCATTTTATGTAAAGTATTAATTTTGTTATCCAAACTGAAAACAATATGTTTTATATATGTATACACATTAGAGTTATTTAGATACTTAAAAAACAATTGATGGATGAAACAAAGGAGAATTGTACAATTACATGTAAAAGAATCTTTTTAATGGCCATGATTTTTGTCAATTTATTTTTTAACCATGAATGATTGTGTTATTTTGATCACTGACTTTACCTATAACCACAGTCCTATTGTCTCAGTTCTAGTCTTACCTTTATTTGTATACAGTCATGGTAATATTGATTTTCTCCAGTTTGAGCTTCTTTACTCACAAACATGACATTAATACATTTTGTAAATAATCATGATATAATGTGCCATGATTTGTTCCTAGTGCTGGTAAGTTATAGAGTTTTGTAGTCATTATTACTATCGACCATTCAATCCAAGATTTTAAATTGGAATGTAATACATGTTTCCTGTTTTATCATGTAAACAATGTAAGGAACAATGCTGTTTTTTACTGAAGAAAAAAGAGATTATGACAGACCAATCCATTGTGACATTAGATTGTTATGTAAAGAACGTGTCTGTTGGGACCAAGTCAGATTGTCTCCCTTGTGTAGGGTTCTAGTATCTAGAAATAACCTGGGCGGATGACAACAAAGAAGGAAATTGATCTGGAGCAGACGATTTTTGAAGACATAGATATTATTTAAACTGGACCCATACTATAAAAAATGTCCAGGGTCAAAATAAATCTGGTTTTATAGAACTTGGTACATACCCAGGGTCAGGATAAATCTTGTTGTATAGAACTTGGTACATACCCAGGGTCAGAATAAATCTTGTTGTTTAGAACTTGGTACATACCCAGGGTAAGAATAATCTTGTTGTTTAGAACTTGGTACATACCCAGGGTCAGAATAAATCTTGTTGTATAGAACTTGATACATACCCAGGGTCAGAATAAATCTTGTATAGAACTTGGTACATACCCAGGGTCAGAATAACCTTGTTGTATAGAACTTGGTACATACCCAGGGTCAGAATAAATCTTGTATAGAACTTGGTACATACCCAGGGTCAGAATAAATCATGTTGTATAGAACTTGATACATACCCAGGGTCAGAATAAATCTTGTTGTATAGAACTTGGTACATACCCAGGGTCAGAATAACCTTGTTGTATAGAACTTGGTACATATCCAGGGTCAGAATAAATCTTGTTGTATAGAACTTGGTACATACCCAGTGTCAGAATAAATCTTGTTGTATAGAACTTGGTACATGCCCAGGGTCAGAATAAATCTTGTTGTACAGAACTTGGTACATACCCAGGGTCAGAATAACCTTGTTGTATAGAACTTGGTACATAACCAGGGTCAGAATAAATCTTGTGGTATTGAACTTGGTACATACCCAGGGTCAGAATAAATCATGTTGTATAGAACTTGTTACATACCCAGGGTCAGAATAAATCATGTTGTATAGAACTTGTTACATACCCAGGGTCAGAATAAATCATGTTGTATAGAACTTGTTACATACCCAGGGTCAGAATAAATCTTCAGGTATAGAACTTGGTACATACCCAGGGTCAGAATAAATCTTGTATAGAACTTGGTACATACCTGTAACAACAGTGGATGGGAGGGATGTAGTGTAATGTGACACGGAGTGGTTTTATAACCAATCAGCAGTTCAGGTGAATAATAATTTCCATATTTTTATTCACTCTCTTTCTGGGGCCAAATTTTAGGTAAAATGTCCAAGTTAAAATCCCTCATTCATTTCTGTTTATGTTTGGTTAACTCTGTAGCCAAGTTTTGTTTTAAATCTTAAGAAAGGTGTACATATACTGAATACAATCTGATGAGTTAATCAATGTGTTCGGGAGTGACTTTAATATGTTATGATTTTTTTTTTTATTATGGTAATGTGATACAGAATTATGCAGAAGCAATGGGGATCAGCTTTTAGATTGTTAATATATAAATACATGGACTTTGTAATGTCCCTGTAAAAATCATGACCTCGGACAACTTCTGTCTCGGCGTGTTGCTAGAATGAAATGGTTAATAATAGGTGCGATTCAAATACGGTTTTGGAGAAAAAAACTTGTTCAATATTTGAATAAGTTATGTCCATTTAGCTTATATGAATAGAGGAGGTTTAGCTTGCAATAAGATATTTAAGGGGTGGGATATAACCCACCACTAAGCTCACAAGTTTCCTCGTGGATGGTACTCTGTATCAAATGATGTCCGTATTAACATCATCACAGCATAATTCAGCTTCTGCTTGTGCTGATATAATGCTTTGATATCTATTAATGGATTACTAATTGGTCACTATGGTAACAGCTCTCAAACTGCTGTTAATATCTACATTATTCTCAGTTTAAATGTAGGTCAGTTTACCAGATGTATATACAAAATGTAGCATCAAAAAAAGGTCTGATTTCTTAATAAACACAAGCTTTTATTTTATCAGAAATTTAGATGACAGATATACATAAACACAACTTCTTTCTTTATTCATTATTCTATTAAATGAATATCTAACACCTTAATCTATGAGTTCATCAGGAAAATATCAATTCTTATGTGAAAAACATATGTATAATAAATTGTAAATCCTGAAAAATGTACACAATGGTACTGGTAAATTAAAATGAAAAAGGCTGGTAAATTAGGAGGAGAGAGCAACTAATTTATGTACCAGGTATGTGTTTGTAGATTTAAACATTTCATTACACTAGCCTATCTTAAGTTTGCTCTTTGTTTAATGCAATATTTTACTTTTTGTATGACGATCTGTGATAGAGAATTCTGTGTGTTTTACTTACATATTAGTGTTTATGTATTACTGATTTAGAGGTGTCAAACTGCTCTTTAGCACTCCATACGTTTCGTTGTTCTGTTGGGTTAATATTTTAATCTCTTTGTGTGCTATTGTTTCTTATAATTGTTGTTATTTTCTCAATTTCTAATTGTTGATTTTATTATTTGAATTTCTAGATTTTTTTTATTGTTTGTCAGATTCAATTTTATTTTTTCCAGAATTTTAATGATTTCTTTCTGTGAATGTGTACATGATTATAACACTGAATGTAACATAGACCTGCTGAAATTATTTATTCTCGTTCAAAACAATATATTTTAATGAGTTTGCATGACAGAATTTGTAGATAAATTTACATGAATCAAATAAAATTAAATCATCAAATATAAAAACATTGTTAGTGATTTTTTTCAAATTTACAGTATCTCTTATTTCATCAGGAGACTGAAAGACTTTGAATTTTAATTGATATATAAAACTTATATGTATATGTATATGAAAAACTTTTTTTTTTAAATATGCATTAATTATTGATATATTTGTAATTGTTTTTATTTTCCCCAATAATTGTACATTCTTTTTTTATAGAAAAGTACAGACTGTATATGAATTTATTAATTGAGATTCAAAGTCATTTTGGACAATTTGAACTTCGATAATTCTTACTATTAAACAGAAATGACAAAATAATGCACCTTCCACTGTTATGAAATATGTTCACTCCCAAAGAAATGATATTGCCTGTGACTTACATGTTGTTGTCCCCAGTTAAGTGTGACCTTGACCTGCTTGCATGTGTACATTACACAATCTATATTTAGCTCTGCACTAGGATTGGTTACTTTTGTTCTCACTTTTGATCTCTTGGTTGTGTGATTGCTTGAAAGAGAAAAAACAGTTCACATTTTCTGTATCATTTACGATACGATACATCTGTAATTTTTCCACAGTGTATACATCTGTAATTTTTCAACAGTATATATTTGAAATGTACCTCATACTTATTGTGTAAAGTCACAATACATTCACTAGAATTAATTTACTCTGATAGACACTGTAATTCATACTTTCTACACTTGAGTGAGAAAAAAAAGAATTTTAACTATAATTAATTTGTGAATAATAATAATCCCTGATGATCAAGGAATCGGATAAATACAGCACTGACAAGGGTTTAACAACAGCTTTTCATGCCGAAAATGTACTGTTTTCAAAATTAAAAACAATTGGTCATGGTTCAGGTATATTAGAACATTAAAATACTCAAAAATACCTCAGAGCAGACACAAACAGCTATCTAATATGTAAAAATTTACTAATATATTTCAAAATTGACTGGTACAATTTCCATATATACCAAGCATGTTTATAACGTTATAATCATTTAATCACAAACTAATGTCTTAAGTGGGAATATTCATACTGTGAATCACAAGTATTTTTATAGTTCATTAAAAAAAGACAAGAAATTGACAATAGGAAGGCGTAGTGACCCATACAAAATTTGCCTAAT